CTGTACCGTTTTGTTCTGTTTGATCGGCTTGCCAGGTCCAACTTTCTGTTGTTACTTTTGGGTTTTTATTTTTTTGATTCCTTTGGGGCACGGGATCTGAGGGCCTCTAACTTTATTTTCTTCGCAGAAAATCAGCAGAAGCTGAGCCAAGAAAACTAAAATGGAGAGAATTTATGAATAAAATATTTTGTTGAACCCTCATCTTTTTGTCTCGTGTCCTCAAATATGTTGAGCCCTTGGTGGACGTAACAGATGCGCATGCGCATACGACGAAAAAAACGTCCAAAACATACGAAGTTGCTTGCTCTTTTGTATCTTAGGGTTAGGGTCAGGGTTAGGGTAAATTGTATGTTAAATTCTATGTTATTGAATGTTATTGAATAAGATGCGCAAGGATATCTTGTCTCGAGGCAAGACGTAAAAATACAACGAAAAAAACGTCAAAAACGTACGAAATTACTGTGCATAACTTTTCGTACGATTTCATACGAACTGATAATGAGAATACACTGCATATTTGGCCCTCTTGTAAATAGACAGTGGTGCCCTAGTGGTTAGGGCATAAACTTTGGAATCCTGAGGTTCTGAGTTCGAGCTCCACTCCCACAGACTTCTGAGCAAGACTTTTAACCCCACACTGCTCCCTGGGCGCCGCACAATGGCAGCCCTCTGCTCCTGAAGGGGATGGGTTAAGTGCAGAGGTAAATTTCTCGGATGTAAGATCAGTTAAGTTCAATTGTTATTATTATTAGTATTATTATTATATATTGTTATTAAAAGTGATTTTGAAAAAATACCTTTCTCTTGTTTTAAAATCACATAATTTCTTCAGTTATATGTATTTATGTCATAAATTTAGCTCATCTGCTTTGTATTTCAATTTTTATATTTGGATTACAAAATTAAAAAGGCTGCTTGTTTCTTTGTTTACTAATACCTCAAATCAAATCACCCAAAATAAACACCGACCCAGATTTTTTTTTCTTTCTGTTTTATCTTTTTTTTAAATGTATGTACAGTTTCCCTCACTTCACAATAATGTAGTACTTTGTGTTGATGTAGCTCATAAAATGATGAACTTTACAGTTTGTGGTTGGAACATGACGAAATGTGAAAAAAAAAAGAAAAGAAAAATTACGCAGGAGGTTTACTGCTAAAGTGTTCCATGAATTCATTATTCGCAAATGGGGATGGTGAAAACACGGATAAAAGAACAGAAATCAAAGTAATGTTCCTCTGTCGTCACCTAGGTTCGTTTCTGGAAAGGAGATCAAGAAGAAGAAGTGTCTGTTTGGGCTGCAGGTACGAGCTCCGCCTCCACTGACGTCTGATTCGTCGCCTCTCGTCACCGATCCTCCTATCAGCATCACCCACCGGAAAAGGTCAGATGAAAAACAATTTTTGATTGTGAGGTTGGTTCCAGCCGGTCACCCGCCAATGCAGCACGGCGGGCGCCGCATGCAGAGTCCCAGAGGCTGATGTCCCGGAGATTGGAGAACAGGCAGGAGATCAGAACCTAGCAGACAAAGGAAGGCAGGTTAATCCAGAAGGCAAAGACAAACCCAGTGTAGAGGACGTGCTCCGGAGTCAGAGCCAGGAAATCAGAGGTCTGAAGACATGCTGAAGGGACATCGAGGATGGTGTCAGGAATCAGTTCCAGGTGCGGTACACAGGAAGAAATCCAGCAGGAGTCCAAAGACAGGTCAGGCAAACAGATCAGAACAGGGACAGGCAGGCTCAGGGTTCCAGAGGCGCACCGGCTGA